AATAACACACAACACGCTCGACTTCACAGGGCCGACCAGTCGCGTTGTGTATAAAAGTCATTAACGTATTCGGCGGCCTCGCGCATTTAAATGATGCCACAATGGTGCTATTCGCGCGCCACAATAGCAAGCATATACTCGCCCATCGCAATGGCGTCGTCGTTGGTCCACTTCGACTTGACGACTCGAGAGGGTGAGAGGGAAGAAAGCAGGAAGGAACAATACCACCATCGATACTGATCTACCTCTATTTTGCATCTTACTTCTTCTCGACTAACGGAAATCTAAAGCGACGTAAGAGCGCGTTTTACGCGATAATAGCGACGACTGCCTCACGCAAAACGCTCCTGTAAATGCTCCTCGAACTCTTTTTCTCCAAAGCGAGCACCTAGCGAGGTGTTGATTCAACCGAATAGAGCTCCCTTGCCTCTCACCTGAGATCTTAATTTAAACGGCGAATGTGTGACGCGAAGGATTTTTCGGGGAGACACGTAATGAAATCCAAGAGATCTTTTCCGAAAGAGAAATCAGATAAATGTGTATGGAACAATCGCAAATACGAATTTTTTATCATATCTTAAATCTCACCAATTGAATTACACGCTAATTAATCGCGCATTAAATAGAACACTCCTCCGCACTTTCAACACTCTTTTTGCCTTCTCTGTCTTTCTTGCACGATACCTTATGCACAACGGCCGCGCCGGTTTGCAAGAGGTGCACGAGAGGCGCAGGTACTCGACTTTCAATGACCGCCTCTGCCCCATTGTACACGATTTCAAAGGGTATAATTACGCTCACCTATGCCACGCTCGAATATCGCTGGGTTTTGTGCGCTCGCGCGAATTATCCTCGGCTCGATCGCGTCGATTCTCGATAAGACTCGTCGTTTTTCACCCTCTTCCCCGCCGATCCCTCCCCTCCCTGCGCCCTTGCGCCATTGTTCATCAACGCTCAGGGTGGAAGTTGATTAAAACCAGAGCGCCAATCGCGGAGACTTAACGAGGAACTAGTTTCCCGACACAGAGACGCTTGTAACGCGACGCTTTTTAAATCGCGACGCCCTTCTTTCAAATTTCCGATATTACAATGGCAGGGTGAAAAGTCTCCCTTGACTACCTCCTAATGAATGACAGAGAGAAAGACTACTTGAATAAAGAACAGTTTGGAATCGACTTGTTTTTAGCACGTTTATAAGAAGTTGAAAATATCGTCGATGCTACTGTCGAAGTTTCAAGGAGATGTATGAAATTCATACACTCAACGAATATCAATTAAAAATCTTACTAAGATCTGTTAAATAAAACTCTTCAACTCGTCCAATATGCTGAAATCGCAAAAAAACCAAATTTAAATGCCGCTTTCCAGGACGACGTTTCGGATACTCGAAAAGAAAGGATTTAAAGCTTCCTAAAGAAGGAGTAGAGTCGCGAAAGGCTATCGAAACAGGAAAATCGGGTTCCATCGCGGGCCTGTGTATGTTTCAATTAATGCTGTGGCACGCAAGCACGCGGCGCGCGCGGAGGCACATAGAGCAAGCGAAACGAGAGTTTTCGCCAACAAGCAACATCTGTCGGGGTTCACAAATCATTTCTGCGTTGTAAAGCATGAGCTATGGCGCAACTAGGCACGAGCATGGGGCGACCGCGATTATTCATACCGCCCGAACTAGTTCGATCGAGAGTGCGCGTCCGTGGCCACGCATCTCTTCGAACCAGTCTGGACGTAGTCCGGACATTAAATTCGCGGGGATCGCTCGTAAACGTCAGTCCGAGTGAGTTCACAAGCGATTCGCTCGCTCTGTGCTGGCTTTCACTGTCTGTCGAAACAATACGGTGCACACCGCGAGACTCGCGTCTCATCGCGCCGTTTCAGAGGATACATTTTCGCGGATGAATTTTCAGCGCGTCAACAAGCTGTAAAATTAGCTGATTTACGCAACCGAACGATCGATTCATATTTTTTGAACTCATCGTTGTATCCTCTCGCGAACGACGTGAACAGAATATTCCAGTTACACAAATTCGCGTTGTATCAAAAATGAGCACGGAGCAAAGAGATTAAATTAAAATTCATTCGAATAAAAGAGATCGCGACAATGAACGAACCAAATGCGTCTTGGACGAAGAGAACAGAATTCCTGGCTCTTAGAACCAAATTTGTTTCGTGAGAATCAGAAATTATGTTTCTTTCAACGAAAACGTTTGGTTCGTCGCATTAATCCGACCAATCTTTTTCTCTCCGCGTAAAAATATAAATATTCCATGTAGTAAAAACGAATCCATCGTTCGCAGGCGCATATATCCTATTATTAATCTCGAAGCACTGTAAATAAAGAGAGAGAGAGAGAAGCAAAGCGACGTTTCTTCGCGCGACTTGAAGCATGCGCGCGCGAGAACGATAATCCACTTGCGTCCGAGTTTAAAGTGTACCTGCGGTATTTCCGTAGCGTACATCTTGCGGCACAATGGCCGCCGGGAAATCCGCCGACAATGAACCCTCAGGAAACGATTCCGCGGTCTCGCATAATGGAAACACGCATTCTCCGATCCGAATGCCACTTTGAACGCCCGACTGAACGTCGAATGGCGCCACATTAGGTGCTCCTCTCGCCGCGAAAAACCCTCTGAATAAATACTTTCGGAAAGCCACTCCGCGGGGCCAACTTACCTATGCGTCTACTGCGCGAATTTGATCTCATAATAGCGCCCGCTCTCTCGAGAGAAGTCTATCCGTGGATTTTCGTCAACCTCGGATGCGCGACGATATGAACGCGTCAGATTATTATTATGTCGACAATATTGCGGCAAATCCCGAGAAATTTCCGGCGTTCCGCAAAAATTCCGGAGCGTTCGAGCGTACCGCCGACTAACAAGTGCCCTGTCGCAATTTCTATACGACTTCACGCAAATGAAATCTTAAATAATTCTATGAACAATATCGCACACAGTTCAACGAATCATTTCTCAAACTAATTTTCAAGAACGAAGTAAGACACCCCGGGACAATTTTCCCGTCCGAACTTGAAAGTCAAGATTGAAGAAAACTTTTGAATGAGGAAGGCATGAAAAGGTACACGACATTCAGGGAACGGAGTCAACCTACTACCGTTGGATAACTCTTGAGGATATCTCAATTAAATAGCTGAAGTCACACGGAAGCTCGACTGCGCTTGCAAAATTTCCACGATCGAAGAGAGACGCCGAGAGGGAGAGCAGAAATGTTAACCCTCTCTATGGTCGCATTTATCAAAGCCCGATATAAATTACCCGGCCTCCTGCAGTTTATAGCGTTTACGGCAGGCGGTAGAACCTGTCGCGCATGAACGAAACAGATTCCCGCAGAAGATCAACGTAATCCTCATACAAATCCGAAGGTTTGTTAAGGGGTTGTGTCCCTAAAAAGGAAGACAACCCGATGCCCGAGGCTAGACGGGGTAGGGAGGGAGGGAGGGAGGGAGAAAAGTAAAAGGACAAGGGAATCGAAAAAACTGGAAGGAAGAGCCGTGGTAAGGGCGATATTGATATACGATGTCCATGTTATAAAGAGAACCTGATCCGGACAGCGGCCTGCTCATTGTCCGGTCGCGATGTATTTGGACAGTCAGTTGTTAACGGCAATGAGACCCGCCATTGTGGCACCCATTCGCCGTGGACAATCGCCCATTATGGCAGTGACTGCCTTCCGCGCGCGCACGTCGCCATAATTACATTACCTACCCGCGTTTTGCGCCACACCGCGCCATACCACACGCGAACCCGCGTTAACCCATTGTTGCCGCGAACGTGTTCATGGGTGTCCACAGACGCACTCATGGCGATCGACTCTGTGGAGAAGGCGCGCGCGCGTGCGATCGATTCCGACTAAACGGATATGTTCGTCGGGTTTCATGGTTATTAACGGCGGTTCTCGTGTAAATGGGACTGTTCTTTATCTCTGACACAATGAAGACTTCAAGTCACTAACGATTGCTAAGGTAAAACACTCGATTATTGGCATGCTATTAGTCATTGACACTCTAAGAAAAAACTTGGCTTTTCATACCATTGCAGTTGAACTTCTTGTCTGCATTCAGTGATTTCAAAAGAGAACTTCAACGAAAACTGTGAACAATCAATGGTCTGTGGCCAGTGGCATGTGTCCTGTAGCCTGCGGCCTGTAGCCTGCGACCTGTAGCCTGCGGCCACAAATCAACAGTCGCTAGCTACTGGCGGCCACAGGACAAATCAGACTTTTGTAGAGTAAACGACCAAAGGGATCAATAACTGGGTGTTTTACCCCTGCTGTGTTCTTTCTTTTCTGTGTTCCCGAAATCTTGTTGCAGGTGTTCAGACTACAAATATGAATCACCGTGTTTGAGAAAGAAAAATTCTAGAAGACGTTTTGAATGAAATCCGTTTCGGTATAGTAATAGTCGACACCTATGTGACCTACGGTGCCATTCTGTCTCCCGAGAATCGCTGCGGCCTTATAACGCTTCCAGTCCGAAACCCGGGAATCGTAACTAAGACCACCTTAAGCATTCTTGACATCCCGTAGAGTAGTAAGTCCATCCGCCAGATTCCCCTATATTCTTACTACCACGATCGTTTCAAGTTGATCAATCCGTGATTCATCCACATTCTTTCAACGTAAAAGAATTCCTCTGACTATGGAGAAATTCCACTATTCTTCACTTTAATCACATTGCCAGAATGTCAGCGGGTGATCTTTTCCAAAGATGTCAGTCGAAGATATCATAGCGAAGAATTGATAATATATTACGAACCTAATAGTAGAAAAATGAATAACACTGGCCACCTTTCAGGTAAGCCCCTAATTTCATGCCTGCAAGATGACTCATCTCCCGAATCAATGAAATCATCGATAACCCGATCTTCTGCAAACTCTGCAGGAAATATACACCGACATACAACGACAGACATCGATGCAATAAATCTTATATTAATAAGTTATCATAAAACTCGAAATCACTTTTCGTGTGAATTTTTCTGACTCACCAAGAAATCAGGAATTCAGCATCGGCCACGTTCTGCTATTGATCTGCAATAAAAAATATAATATCGCTAATTAAATACAAGAATTAGCAATTTAAAGTGAGAAATACACGTGAATACGACCGATTGGTTTAGAAAGAATTAAGATTAATCTATTGCGATCGTTGTAATTCGACGATTTTTACTTGGACGACAATGTCCTTCGAGCCCGCGCAAGAGTACGGGAAAAGTTAGGAAACCTACCTTTGAATCGAGCCTGCTCGGCCCGAACCGGATCCCCCGGTACAGCATCCGCATCCATCGCACCCTGGTGTTGCGGTGTTCACAAGCACCACCAGGTCTGTAACAAAAAGCAAGTTCTTGGGTTAGTTATTGCAATAACGTCAAAGTATCAGACTTAAATCATTGGTTCAAGACAATACATTATTTTTCAAACCCATGAATATAAAAGTTGATAAATATCCTGAAAATTCAGGGATATTATCACTGCTGAAAACGCAATAATTGCGTTATTTTGCAGGATATAATTCCTTATTACATTATTTTACAATGTCTAAATCTCCCTTGACATTCAAACAAAATGCGAGATTCATCCGCGATAATCAACAACTTGCATCGATATCTAGATAGTTTAACGAATTGCGAGATTAAAATCAAAATAAATATATGTTCTTGTTAATATCGGTGAAAGATCTCTCCGTGTTCCGTTAACCAGCCGGAACAACGTACGATCTGCAAGAAAGGAAGGGAATAAGTCGCGAGATATATCCTGTGCGAAGTTCGTTCCCCAGCGTTTCCCCCGGTGCGCGGACTGCTTCAACGGTTTCGTATCAATTACACCGAGTGCAACCCTTTTCTTTCATCGTATCGCGCTACACTCACGCGGAAACACAAGAGTACACATAGGCATCTGGGGAGAATGCCGTATTGATTCGGACAGGTATCCTCCCCAAAGAGAGAGAGAGAGAGAGAGAGAGAGAGAGAGAGAGAGAGAGAGAGAGAGAGAGGAGCGTCCACCTGGTAACAAAATTTCTTTTAAACGAATCCCCTGAACGAATCTCTCCTAAGAAAATCTCGCATAGCCGCAATAGGAAATTTCAAAAGTGGATTATAACGTGTATCATATAAATGGAACAACCAACTTTTAGTGTTACTCGTAAAAGAAGAAATATAAAAAAGTCCAGATGTATTTCAAGAATTAATTTTCTGCTTCATTATACACTTGGAAACTTCACACTTTGATGCAATTTTACATTTAGCGTTTAACGCTTTATATTATAATTTTAACTTTTTGGAAACCTGCAACAAGTAACTTCGCAACTTTGGCCCATTGAAGCTGTAAAGTTTTACAGCAGTTTCTTTTAAAGCAAAAGAAACAATTGTCCTTCGAATAAAAAATATGGAGAAATTCAGAATATCTCGTTTCAAGAACTTCGAAGCTCCGAATTTGCAAGTTCCTGAACTTCCCAGGTTTTATATTTGCAGAATTCCAAGCTTTGATGTCAATCAAATATTTTGAGGATGGAGAGAGAGGGAGAGAGAGATAGAGATAGAGAGAGAGGGGGAGAGAGAGAGAGAGAGAGAGGGGGGGGGACGTTCGCCGAGTCACGAGTCCCGAGTTACAAATCGGACAACGGAATCACGCGAGATCGTACACTGGAAGATACAAAGTTCGAGTCGACAAATAGCTGAGAAAATCTCGGAGGAGATCGGCAACGGGACGCTGGGCCGCGCGCGTTTTTTTCATTAATCCGCGACGAAGCGATCCCCGGCGCGAGATGAGATCACGATACTGTCTTCCGGAGACGGGAGAACGACCATTGTCCGGCTTATCGCGCGAAGGTGTCCCGCACAAGTGAAATCATCCACGAAACAAAGGGGCACCAGGGTGTCAGGAGCGTCGTGGGTCCATACAATACCAGGTATCCACCAGACGTGGCATAAGTATAATACAAAAGACGGCGTCTCTTTTTCTTTTCGTAGTGTACCGCGACAGTCCTTTATCTTCGGTCGGCGAACGTCGAGAGCCCGGAGCGGATCGAGGGAGGTATCGACCACGATCGGATCGCACCGATCGATTTGTGCGTAGAGCGTTATTGTTTGCGCGACCGTTACCACGCGCGATCTCAATGTCTTCCTCTTACAATGCCGAAGATATCGATCGACGTGTCTGTCGACGAAATCCGAGAAGATACAAATTTTTCCTACCCGAGATCGTCGTTGGAAAATTCATGGATCACAATTTGCTTTTCGTTTATCTCACTCATGAATGTCAAAGACTTTCTACAGTGTCAGCCGATTAAAGGTTGCAATATTTTATACGCTTTCCACGATGTATCCGGTATCCAATAGAATTTTTTTTAATATAATAATAGATTTTTCTATTGATTATGGAATGTATTGCAAAATTCGTCGAGAAAAAGTATTACAAACTTTTATTAGCCGACCATATAGTAAGCCGCAAAACTATTCACAATGAAGTCGGGAGCTCACCAAACTGTAAAATTGCAAGTCATTACTTATGTGTGTGTGTGTGTGAGAGAGACATGGGCTTGTCCAGTAATTATATTATTAATTATCATTAGTATTATTATTTAGTGTTCTGAAGTATATTATTATTGCTATTATCCGTCGGCAATGACTCTCAATTTTGACAGTTCGTTGAGCTTCCAACTTTATTATGTCTAAACTGTTTTACAACCGAGTGTATACATTTATCGCAATGTCAGTAGCAAGCAAATGCAATGCTCGTTACGACGATGAGCACGGAAGTTGTCTTAACTTCAACTCACAAACGCGACGTTGAAATTAGAGAAACGTCAGTGACATTTATTATGATAAATATAGAAGAGCCTTCACTTCGATTTGCGATATCACGCGAGTTTCTACGACGATCTTGTCTTTTTAGGTTCACAGAGATGTCGAACTTCTACAAGTACCGTCTTCTGGTGGACAAGTCCGCGTTTACGTTCACCTGTTAATCCATTCAAACTACCGTAAGCGTATCGTAAGCGATTTATGGTCGGCGTTGCGAGATCAACGCGATCGTAAGCGGCTCGTGAGGCAGGCAAAGAGAGAGCGAGAGAGAGGACGAAAGAGGAAGAAAGATACTCGATTTTCGCAACTAGCGCGAAGAAGCTAGCGAGAAGAGAGAGGATATATCTTGCGAGTACCGATCTGTATATGAATACACCGACTTTTTTTGCGGCCATGCGATACATGATACTTTAGCGGGCCAACCAGGGGTCCGCTCGCGCGCGAGAGATCGAGGCCAGTGGACCATGGGTCCCACGAGCGACGAGAGACTAAGGGTTCTCCCAGCTTTTCAAGCTGATTGGAATGGAAAAGAAGAGAGGCGACCGTACGGTCGGGCTCGTCACCGGCCCTGAAGAAGGGGTTGGATATCCAAACCCCCTCGATTGAGTCGAGATAACGTCTGCGCGACTTGATACGTTGTACCGGCTCCTCGTGACACTTCCACATCGGTAGTCCTCCCTCCGTACCGTGCTCCTAGCAAAGGCCAGAGGCTGACTACCGGTGTCGAAAAAATATATCATCCTTTAACCTTCGTTCCTCCGTGTATAAAATTATTTTCCTTGGAGAAAATACTTACCAAGAGTGTTGTGATGAAAACTAATAAATTTTGCAATTTATCGGTGATTTCCACACTTTGAAAAATACAGAACGATACATATAGTTCGTCTATGAAGTATTTTATGAATAATATAAAAAAAAACCAACAAGATTTTTATTTCAACATTGTACCGTTATCATAGAAAGTTAGGGCTTTTGCACACGAATTGCAGTAGCCCTATAAACAAGACGTAAACTTTAGCTGAAGACCAATCAGGATTTTGTTATAGTTTCATACACCCTCTAGAAAGAGATAGAACTGCCGGTAAACCTGATCGTATGCAAAAGTAACGAGGATTCATCTCTGGTTAAAATCCTAATAATACAGTCCGAACATTATTTATGCGATCACCTCAATTTTCTTCCAACTAGAAGAATCCTAAAGCAATATCCCAATTAGTGCTTAAGTTTACGTCTTATGTTCACGGTTACAGTAATTCGTGTCCTCAACTCTTTTCTCCCCCCCCCCCCCTCCCTCTC